CATGTTTGGTTTTTTTAAACTATTTCTGGGCCCAGTGGGACTGGGGTGTTGACCTTGACTCCTGAGCCCCAAGACCTTGGTCCTTCCCATGCAGACATGCATGTGTATATGCGTCCATGTATCTCTTACGTAAAGCTTTTGTGGACTGCAGCCCACCTATCTGGAGTGATGCCTCAGTGGATAATTGTTGCAATTTATTTTATGTCATTATCTGAGCCCTCGAGACCTCACATTCCCAGCTCCTCTCCCTGAGGTAATTGCATACATCTTGGGAATGTGTGAAATGGTGTTAATATTCAGCACTTCCAGGAGTTTTGCCTGTTTGCCGTGGTCGGCTTGGTGTCTGACTTCTTCCTCCAGATGCTCTTCTTTGCCACCGTCCTCTCCATTGACATTCGCCGAATGGAGGTACAGTTCTCTATTTGCGAGCTTCCCAGGCGGGCTGGGAGGGCTGGGAGCGACCGCCTCCGGTCGGCTGACATAATGCCAATCCTCTATAGCGAGGGGACAGCAAAAGCCACCAGAATCAGGAAGCACAGTCAAACCTTGGGGCTGTGAGAGGCCAGGCAGCTCTGGGGGCTAAAACAGTGGGTGCACCTTGCCTGGATCCTAGGTGTTCTTGGCAGAAATGTTGGGGGGGGGCAGGAGTCTGGTGGGCAAGGCTTGTTGGTGGCAGAGAGTCCAGCCTGCCAGTGAGCCAGGGTGCAGAACTGAGATGGGTGGGTGAACCAGGGCTGTGACATGGCCACGGGGAGGGGGGAATGCGTGCACAGAGAACAGAAGCCCTTGTAGCACACAGTGAGAGGGTAGTGCCCGGATTTTTCTGGCCTGGGTGGTTGTGGGGGGCGGGATGGACCCCTAGAGACTTCTCTGTTTTTTCTGCTTCTCACCTTCCGGTTTCCTTCCTTGTGACAGCTTGCGGATTTGAACAAGCGGCTCCCAGCAGAAGCTTGTGTTCCCCCCACCAAGCCGGCGAGCCGCTCCCAGCGCTACGAGCGCCAGCCAGCCATGCGGCCCGCCACCCCGCACACCATCACCCTTCAGCCTTCCTCGCTTCGGAATCTGCGCCTCCCTAAGCGCCTGCGCGTCATCTATTTCTTTGCCAGGACCCGGCTGGCTCAGAGTGTTCAGAAGAAAATTGCCTTGTGCCCTTAGCTATGCTGCAAGAGTTCTCCACTCATGGAATGCACATATAAACACCCCCGTTTCGGGTTTGGCGTTCTTTGGCTCCCTTATGGAGCTGGGGGTTTCTACCCTGAGTGCCAGGATCCGCTGCTAGTGAGGAAGGCACAGGGAGGGACGATCTGCCTGCCGTGGGGCTGGGAGACGGAAAAGCCGCAAGCGACAAAGGCCAGGCCGAACAGGCCCTGCTGCCTGATGGGCAGATGCTCGGCGCCTTGACCTCTGCTGCTGTGAGGGCCAAAGCTTACAAAGAGCGTAATGGTTTTTAAATGTCATGCAGATGGTTGTTAATAGTGGCCCTTGAGGTCATATGGTTGGCCGGAGTAGAGGGCGGGAGCTGCAAAGGGGTAGGGCAGGCCGTGCTCTTGAGTGGGGTATGGCCACGGTGACAGCTCATTCCCCCTCACTGGTTCGGTAGCACACTGCTCAGTTGCGCTCCAGGCTCTGGTCCGGTGTGTGGCCTTCTGGTCAGGCCAGGCCATTCTCCAGCTTCCACCTGGTGGGAAGATCTGTCTGGGTTTCTCGCCAGCGCCCTGGGCTGGGCCACTCGAGACGATGGGGGCCATTGTGTGGTGGGTAGTGGCTGGTCTCCTGACCCCCGGCCCCCAGGATCATATCTCTCTCTTTTTTTTTTGGAGCATCTGTAGAGCCAGGAGTGGTTTTGGACATGCCTGTCAGAGCAGAGGGTGGGGGTTGGTGACTCTGCCATCCCACTCACCTCTTCCCTTGTCTTCTCCACAGGCTGGGACAGTGGTCTGGATCGGCATCCTGTTCTACACAGATCCTGCCGGCCTCCGGCCCTACCTGGCCTCTCAGGTCACTGAGCAAAGTCCCCTGGGCGAGGCGGGGCTGCCGGCGATGCCAGTTCCCGGAGAGGTCCTGCCCACCGGGGACGCCAAGCTCTCTCTCTCGGTCTTTCCTCCGGATTCCGTCCAGCCGCGGTCAGGGAATCAGACCCTGGATTCCCTGCGGGGGCCGGAGGCGAGTCGCCGTGCTGAGGCAGAGCAGCGGCAGCAGCAGCAGCAGCAGCGTGGGGAGAGCCGCGGGCCACCCGAAATGGGGCCCAAGGCCGAAGTGACGTGGGGGGCGGAGGACGAAGAGATGTGGAGGAAGCTGTCCTTCCGGCACTGGCCATCTCTCTTCAGCTACTATAACATCACACTTGCCAAACGGTTAGTCCAGCGGAGGGGCCGGGATGGATCCTCGCGAGGCAGATCTGTCCCTCCCCTGTTCCAGTCTTTAGCGGGTTGGTCCGTCCGTGGCCGGCCATGAACCCTTGCTTGCCCACTGAGCCGGTCAGAGTTCTGAGAGCCGCTCTGGAGCTGAGAGTTGCCTTGGTGTTTTTTGCTTTTTCTCCCAGCGTTTCACCTGGTCTCCTAGGCCTGTGCTTTGTGCGTCTCGGATGCTGTTCTGGTTGCTTGTGTATCTGTTTCCCTCCAGTTGACATGTTCTTGAACTGCTGGGAAGCCACTGGCCAAAAACAAGTCCATAGGCAAGAAGAAGCTGGAAACGGATGGGAATATTCAGGCCACAAAGGGCCCTGGCGGCAAGGGATGGAGAAGAACTCCCTCTGGCTGAGATGGCGCAGGCAGCCGCCGCTCAGCGAGAGGGAAGTTGGCTTCCTCAGGATCCAGGAATTCTCCATCCGCTCGGCTGGGGCACCTGTCTTCGATGTAGGGAATTCTGAATTGGGGCGGTTGTCCTTGGACATCCCCGAACGCGTCAAGACCCTAGGAAATCTGTTGCGACCTTTTGCTTGTTCCCTAGCTCCCCACGACTGCTGTCCAGAAATTTGAACAGTTCTGTTTTTGAACAGCCACACTCAGAATTTCCTAGGGCAGCTTGGCTAACAGCTAGGTGGGCAGGAGGCGTTCTGGGAGCTGTTGTCCAAGAAACCACTTTCCCAAGTTCTGTGGCCATCACGGCCGGGCGCAGAGGAGGCGGATCAGCGTGGTTCCGTTTCATCTCGCTTGCCATGCCTTTCTCTTTACAACCTGGTGCTCTGAAACTGGGGTGCCCTGACGTCCTCTTGTGGTCTCTTGTCCCAGTGGTTTTCAGCCTGAGAGGGGGTGCCATCACTCCTCCTGTATCTCCTTTAAAGGTATATCAGCATCCTTCCTGTGATCCCGGTCACACTGTACTTGGACCCCCAAGAGGCCCTGGAGGCACGCCACCCCCATGATGCAAGCCGCTACCACACTTTCTTCTCACCGAGCGGCAGGAAAGCGGAGAAGACGGATCCGTCGGCTGAGGGTCTTCCCAAAGCGCAGGGGCATCGAGATGTCACCCTCTACAAGTACGAGAGAGAGAGCCAGGCGTTGCACGGGACGGGGAGGTTTTATGTATTGATTGATTGATTGATTGATTGATTGATTGATTGATTGATTGATTGATTGATTCATTCATTCATTCATTCATTCATTCATTCATTCATTCATTCATTCATGTGATTCATGTGATTCATATCCCACTCCCATTAGTGTCACAGCACTCCTCTGGGTGGGTTACAACTCATAAATTAGCAAAACAAAAATGAAAATAGAAATATTAAAACCGATAACAATCACCCTAAAAAAAAATCCAAATGGGACTGGCTAATCTCGGAGCAGATGGAGGAAAAGAGGGGAGGGAAGAAGAGGAGGGGAAAGAAAAACGGGAGGAAGGTGGTCAGCTGGGGTTTGGTGTGGAAAGCCTCCCTGAAAAGCTGTGTCTTTAGTGGCTTCCTAAAAGTCCACAGGGTGGGGACCGGGCAGAGCCCCCCCCCCGGAAGCTGGTTCCGTAAAGCACGAGCCACCGCGGAGGAGGCCCTGCCCTCTTGGAGAGGATTGATGGGCCTCCTTTGGGGTGGCCGCCCGGACGAGCCTCGATGATCTTGTGGGTCGGGCAGATGACCTTCAGGAGAGAAGCTCCCATTCAATAGCAGTTCACTGGCTGAGTGTGTGCGTGTGTCACAAAACAGAACACAGGGTGAATCTGAGTATCCAACCCAGAAACTATTGCTTTCGAAAGGGGGAGAAACTTACCAGACACAGAGAATATGTGTGGAGTGATTCTCCTTGAATAATCAAACAGAATAATTTCTTCTAAGTGGAATTTTCCAAAATACAGGCTGAACAGGAAACGGGGATGCCTAATAAAAACCATTACAGAGAGCAGCTACAAGGAGGGTTGTTTTTCTCTATTAGGCTCTTTAGACATCGTCATTGCAGGAAAGGCTTATCCATGATAACGCCTCTCTCGGTCTGACCTGACCCAGTGAATTTTTGAGATCTGCTCTTGTGCCCAAGCGGCATCGTTTCCACATTTTATCTCTTCCTCTTCCCTGTCGGAGGAATTGCTCCTGGCTGACCACGTAGTTATGGGTCTTTGGGGGCGAACCTCCAGGGAATGTAGCTACTTGCAGGGTGGGGATGGTGAGGATTGCAACCTGGACCAGCCCCTCCAGTTCCCTCTCCCCTTGTACTGGCTGAGAATGGCTGGTTTCTCCGTTGCCTTTGCCGTGACCTTCTGTGCTGGAAGGGGGAGGGGCATGAGTGGGGGAACCAAGTCGTTTCATCCCAAAAGGAGGAGAGAGAGTGGGGCCTCCACTGGGAGAAGACTGGACCCTATATTTATTTAGACGTTTTAACATTTATTTATACATAAGTCTGTTTGATGTATGACTAGCTCAGCCCCAGCGTCCTTGCCCGGTGGCTTTGGTTCCCATGCAGATCCATGGGGCCCCCTTTGTGGGGGTGTCGCTCTTGCCGTCCTCCTGGGGCAGAGATGCTGAGGCCGGTCCTGCCTGACTTCTCTCCTTATCTCTCTCCCCCTTCTCCAGGGTCGCTGCTTTGGGCCTTGCGTCTGGAATTCTTTTGGTCCTCCTGCTCTTCTGCCTCTACAAGGTCTTGTGCCCCAAAAACTATGGGCAAAACGGGCTCTCCCACAGCAGGAGGAGAAGGGGGGACCTGCCGTGTGATGACTACGGCTACTCCCCCCCAGAGACGGAGATCATCCCTTTGGTCCTGAGGGGCCACCTCATGGTAAGCGGCTGGAGAGGGAGCCTAGCGCACGGAGATGGGGGCCGCGGACGCTTTTGACGGTTCCCCAGAGGAAGGTGCAATCCTTTCGCTCCCGTGCCCCCTGATCTGAAGACGATTGAGGAGAATGGGCGCGTGGTGAGTTGTCCCACACGTTGGGGAAGCTGCGGTTGGACTCCCTGCTCTGGGGACGGTCCATGAGGAGTGAGGGCAGACCTGGGAGCTTTCGTTATAGAGAACGAGAGGAGGGTCGGCACCCAGTGGCGCCTTGCTCTGTTCCCCAGCCCCTGGGCCTCTCCTCTGGGCCTTCGTTGCCAGTCACCCTACCTGGGTCCCTTCTTAGGAGAGCATACCGCCCAAACCTTGGGGATGTTTTTGAACCAACGGAGGCAGGTCTTCCACTCAATGCTGCCTGAAGGCCCTGCTTTCCCTTGGAAGGCCTTCTCTAGGTGCCCCTGCCCTGGCCCCTGGCCAGAGGGGCCTTGGAGGGCTAGCACCCTACCTATGGAACTTGCCCCCCCCCTTGTGTTTGCCCAGACAGTCCGAGCTTCCTTTCTGCTTTTACTGTTAATTCTGGCTAATCTCATTCCCAGTTTTTGTAGCTGTATCGGATTCTGCTCTGCCTTTGTCGAGCGCTCTTGAGAGTTCTGGCAGGGGTGGACGGCAGGCTGCAGATGGGCTGACCTGCCTCTTCTTCTGCGTGCCTCCAGGGCTCACCTGGGTCTGCTTTTGTCTCTCCCCTTTCCCTCCAGGACATCGAATGCCTGGCGAGCGACGGCATGCTGCTCGTCAGCTGCTGCTTGGTGGGTCAGATTCGGGTGTGGGATGCTCAGACTGGCGACTGCCTCACCGTCATCCCTAAACAAGGGTAGGTCTGCCCCCCCATGCCCCCCACCCCATGTCCCACACCCTGTGGGCACACACCTCGAGCCAAGGTGGCCGGCCTTGTTTTGGATTGCTGCGGGCTTTTGAAGAGACTTCCCCTTCCACAAAGCCTGCCAAGGTGCTGCCTGGGTTGCCTGTTGGAACAGCACTGCAGGATGAGTGTCTTCCCTTCCCTTCCTTGTCAGGGACTCCTGTCGGGGGTAGCCAAGCTCTCGGCCTCAGGCGAGCTTCCCACCCGAAGGGGAAATCCATAGAGTGCTGGGGAGTGTGAGGTCGTCTGCACAGCACGCTGTGGAAATGCCAGGGGCATCCACCGTGGAAATGCCCCTGCTGGTTTTCGTACGAGTGGTCCCTGCACCAGAGCAGAGGTGCCACTCCCCGGTTTGCGTCAGCCACCTCCAGCCGCTTTTACTCACAGTCACAAACTGTGGAAGAAACAAGCAGACGTTTCTCCATTGCAATGTCTTTGTGGTGGGTAGGGAGACAGCCCTTGATGCGGAGGGAATGCTCTCCCACCCCTGTTCCTCCAGCCTGTTCATCTCTCCGAGGTGTGGTGTGCCCTGCTTTCCCCCAGCATTCCTTTGCTGCTCCGTTTCAGGTTACGCCGAGACCACAGCGGCTGCTTTGACCACCAGGACGGTTGGGATCCCGGCCTGGATGGCAAAGGTGGGTTTGAGGACCCCTTCTTCGAAGGCAGCCGCCCGCTGAAGCGGGCCCGGAGCCCTCCGCAACCCCTGCTGTTCATGGACCAGCCGGATCTCACGTCCCTCATTGATACAAACTTCTCGGAGCAAGCCAAGGCGGCCGCCCCGGAGCCCCGCCACCGCGCGGTGTGTGGCCGCCTGAAGGAGTCCGGCTACGACTTCAGCAGCCTGGTGGAGAAGGTCTGTGAGGAGCAGGGTGGCGCCAACTGCCTCGGCTTCTCTGCCCCCCGAGGACCGGCGACCTTCAGCGTCCAGACAGGCGGGGCCGAAGAGCCGGACTGCGGCACCCGTAGGAGTAGCCTGGTGGGGGACGAGGCCTGCCTGGGTTCGGAGAAGGCTGCGTCGTCTGTTCCCTCCTGGGGAGGCGACTTTGAAAGCTCGATTTGGAGTCTGGAGCTGCAAGGGAACCTGATCGTGGCCGGCCGGAGCAATGGGAGGCTGGAGGTGAGGCCGCAGGACCGGCTGGGTCCTTCCGGGCTTCTGTTTTAACCCAACCGAAAGCCAAAACCCCTGGCTCTCCCCCCCCCCCGCTCCGTGAGGGACTGTGGCTGACTTGGTGATTTTTACCCGGGCCGCCTAAGTCCTGGCCTTGTGCCCTGACCCCTGCTCGGTTTGTGCTCACACCTTTTGTGGTGAAGGGAGCAGAGGCCTCTTAGGTGCCCCTAAGGCGGTGGTGGGGGCAGTGGGATGCCTGGTTGGGTTGGAGTCCATGAGTACGCAGTGAGGGTGGCCCTTCGAGTTCCAAAGGCCCCTGCCCGGAGGATGTCGTTCAGACAAAACCCACCTCCCTGCGCCCCTCCCCACAGAGCATAGCCGGGCGCCCTAGAGAAGGAGCCAGCAAAAGGCTTGCCCAAGGCCAGGGAGAA